ATAGCTCAATTCCCCTCTAATAACTAGGAGTGGAAATAAAGTCAGTTGCAGTCCGGATTTAGCTGTTACAAGTCTTCACTTCTAGTCTAGTTCTCGTCTTACTTTTCTACCTGTTCGGCAAAGGACCTGTCTACATCAGAGAGAAATTATTCTGCCACTTCAACTCGCTTACAGCGAGGTGAGTCTAACCATGCACTTTGGGGTATCTACATCTACACTTTATTCAATACTCTTTAATATCTTTCTTCTCTTACAGATCGCGAGGTGTCAAGCCACTTTGAAGCCTCCTGGTCTGAAACCACCTTACTTTCAAAATAAAAAAGAACAGCGTTGAAAACAAAACCTCGCAGCCGTCCTTCCTCCAGACACAGCAACACAAATCCCTTTCGTATGATTTAATCACAGCTTTAACCCGACAGCCCTTGCCTTTTGTCATTACCCTGCCAGAAGAGAATATTTACCATGATTGTCGGTAATATCCTTAGTGCTTCCCCTTCCCAACTCCTTCTTGCACATACAGAGACACAGAGACACCCGCCTCCTTTGGTCAGTTTGCAACTGGATGGTTTGGTTCATTCTCCCCTTTTCCCTTTTCTATACACCATTCGCAAACTTCTGTGTGTCTGGGCTCTCTGCGGGGTGGTGATGTAGCTACAGACCCTCTGCATGTTGTACTCGTGTGTGTGTGTGTGTGCGTGCGTGTGTTGTGTGTGTTGTGTGTGTCAGTCTGCACACCCGTGTGCGTGTGTGCTCTCTAGAAAAAGGCAGTGTTTGCCTGTCCTCTCCCTACACGCAGAATCCAGGCCAGTGCGATGTGGAGCTCAATAAGAAACTGCATGAATAAACACGAATAGAAAGTTGTGCTCAGCTAACCGAGGAAATCAGAGCAATACCAGGGCACCAACGTCCACATTTCTTTTCACTTCGGGCCGGGGCAGTAACCTCATCTGGGTATGCTAAAAATTAAGGGCAACGGGCAAGCAGATTCAAGTCCCTCGAAAAGGCTGCTGTAATTGATCAGACAGAGAGAGATGGGGGTGACCGAAGCCCACGCCTGACCGTGGAGGGCCAGCAGCAGCCGCGGCCCAGCAGGCACACAAAGGACCCCCAGTCATGCTAAAGGGCTCGGGCAGCGACCACGGAGAGAGAGGGAGGGAGGGAGGGAGGCAGGTGGCGTCGGTGGTCCCCAGACTTCCACGCCGGGTGGCACGCACGCCGGTGGATCCGCAAATCGGAGCTAGCTGGGGATGAAGGCAGTGTTACCGCAGTATTGTAGGCGAGGGGTGGGCGGTGAGGGGGTTAACTACAGTCTCCAAACTGCTCCGGAACCGGCTGGTCTCGGCCCGACTTCCGACGGGCGGGGCCGGGCAATGCCCCCGCGGCGATGGGAGAGGGGCGGCGGTGCGGGACGGAGCGGGCCGGGGGAGCGGGGCTCCCGGGGAGCCAGCTCGGTGGGCTGCCGGGCTCTGGCCATCTGCCTCCTGTCCTCTGGCTTTCTCTTAAATATTGATCAGACGCACTTCAGCTTCTGAGTAATTTCATCTTAATCAGCGGCCGGGCTCGGCGCGGATAACAAACTAATGCTGGAGAGGGCCTGTGGATAATGCCGGGCCAGGGGCAGGCAGGAGGCAGCCCTCCGGTTTGGCGGGGCTCGATAGGCCCTATCTTCCCGGGGCAGATGGACTTAGTGGGTGAGAAGGCTTAAACGCAGCTTTTCATAGATTTACACCTCAATCAGCCATTCAGGTTTTTTATGCAAATCCTAAAACAACATCATTTATCCATCACGAAGCCCGGCTTTGAAACGGCATATCATTAGCTGCACCCTTGGCACCCCGAAACCGTGCAGGCACCACCGCCCCCTGGATGAGATGTGTCCTCTCCCCCCACAAACCCCGCCGGCTCCAGGGAGGGGCGGACACCCCCAGCGCTCCTGGGGCAGCTCCTCCTTCGGCTTTGGGCTGGGGATCCGACCAAAGGAGTAACTTTTTGGGGATGGGGTGACAAATGGCGTGGGAGAGTAAAGGGCCTGCCCTTAAGATTAAACTGCGCTGGAGCTTAAGGCCAGGTACCGGTGGGGCGAGGTTAAGAGCGATCTCTGGCCTCCCCTAGCAGCCACGGCACGACGGGGCGATCTTCGGGAGGCTTAATCAGAGGGAAGAAAAATCCAAACCTATCAGTGTAAGACTGAGCTGAGGTAGATTATTGCTGCCGGCTTGACGCCTTCTAGCTGCAGCTTCGAGACGCGAAAATGAAAAGAAAGGAAAAAAATATGTCCCAAACTTTCACGCCTCTGAATCCTTTCAGACATTAAATTCCGTTAAAAACACTGCTGGATGAGAACGACACTGCTACCAGAGAGGAACAGAAATACTGCTCTTAAAAACAATGTACCGACATCAAAGATCTCCCTACTCAGAGCTGGAAGCCCAGTTTGTTCTTCTAAAGGCCTCTCCGCTGCCTCTCTGCCGGCGGGGAGAGAAAAAGCAGCCCAAGCTCTAGCGTGAGACCCGGCGAGGGTGCCGGCCACTGGGGAACCTTTTATCCCCTCCTGGGTAATATTTTTCCCTTCAAAACGACGCATGGGGGAAGGGAAGAACTCGGTCCATCACACCACCCACGCGGAACACGGGAGCCCCATTGTGTGTCTGCCCCCCAGGCAATTCCCGTCCATTTCGGCCTCGTACGACCGGAATTTATTTTCTATTAACTCCCCACTCGTGTTGGCCACTGGCCAGGGGCACGGCCAGAGCTGCTCTTGGGGAAGACCCCGCCGCGGAGCCGCGCGTTGAGCGGAGCCCGCGGGGCCGGGGCAGGCGAACCCCGACGGGGCGGCCCCGCTGCTGCCTCGGGCCGTGCGTGTCCTTCGGTGGCTCCCGCCACACGCGGGGACGCGTTCCCGACGTGCTCGCCGCGCTCGCACCAGCGGCTTTTCCGCAGGGGAACCTCAGGTGTGTGAACGTATTCACACATCAGTTTATTCCTTAAAATTACCCATTAATGGCATGGTCTAAAATCTCGCACCCTATGGCGGTTCTCTCAAATCCACAGGTAGCCTCTTGAGGGGTGGGGGGAAGGGAGCAGAGGGGAAGAGCTCAGGCGCTTTCTATGTCTTTCCTCAGACCTAGCTCGGACTTCACTAAAAATAAAAGGAGGGAAGAGGGAGAGAGGACTCGGGCAATACAAAGGTAGGTCGGAAGTCCATATTAATTTGGAAATGGTCAAGAAATTCCAGGCACGTTTCTGTCTAAATCCCTGGTAATATTCAAAATTGTATTTTCAAGTAAAAACAAGTTTAGAATTTACCTCTCGCTAATTCACGGCTGAATAATCTGCCCAGGGCAAAGCAAAACTTTAAGGAAAAAGAAAAAAAAAGGGAAAAGGAAAGAAAGAAAGAAAGATGCTGAAATACTGTTAGTCATTCAAATAAAGGCTTCTTTCAGCACATTACAATATACTCTGGATTCGAGGGGAGGAGCTGCAACCCGTTAAGGGCGAGGAGTTTTTGTTTTTGTTTTCATTTAAAGCTACAAAACAAACCCCGAAATGTCTTAACCGCTCTCTGGAGACACCGTCCTTGCAGACAGGCGGTCGGTGAAAGCTTTTTAGCTCGCAGTGCACAAAAAAAATGACCAGAGTGGAGGGAAACGATGGAGCCCGCCGTGGCGGAGGGGACACGGAGGGACACGGCCGTGCCCCGCGCCACCGCCGCTACAGCAGCACTGTGTCCCCGTTGCCGCCCGCAGCCTCCTCGCAGGGTCGCTTCGTCCCTGTAAAATCCCTCCGGGGTGTCCCGCCGAGCCGGGAAGGCGGGGGCCGGAGGGGCCGAGGGGCCGCGCAGCGCTGCGCGCCCCGCGGCGGGACAGAGCGCGGGGCCAGGAGCCCACGGGGAAGGAGAAATTTTCCGTGGCGGACAGAAACACCGACATCGCTGGGTAGATAAGAAAATGGAATACTGTATTTGATTTAGAAAGTTTGTACATATAGATAAACACGCAGTTAAGGAAACAATAGTTTAAGCGTCCTACGTGGAGTTTAAGAAGAGACCCCCCAAAGCTGCTATGAAATACTCAAAATAGCTTTTGCATAAGATAACTACAGTTGCACCCTAAGCTTTTTTTTTTCTTTTTCTTTTTTTTTTTTCTATCGCTGAGGTCCCTTTTGGAAACCTAGCACGTCAGATTTTGACAGCTAAGTTTGTGCAAGGAACACCGAGTCAAGGAAAATAAAAAGGAGAGAGAGAGAAAGGGTTGGAGGGAGATAGAGAGAGGGGAGGAAGAAAGAAAGAAAGAAAGAGGAGAGCAAATATCATATACAAGCATTTCTACACATATATTACAAACTGGGAAAATGACCGCATCATTAAGATATACATAATTCATATAAAATTTTGAAATAAAAATAAAAATCTGTTACAGTCATAACTATTCTTTTTCCACATTTATAACCAGTACCCACACAGGCAGTGACAGAAGTGTAGAAAAAAAGGTGCTTACGAATAAAATGATTGTCTGCAGAACAAAAAAACAGAAAATTGCATCTTGGCTGGACCATCACTTGGACTAAAAAAAAAAAAAAAAAAAGAGAGAGAAAGAGAGAGGAAGAGAGAAAGAGAGAGAAACAGGACCAACAAAAAGGCGATAAACATTTGTTATTTCCCTCTTCAAGGAGTTCCTTTTAAATTTTTTTTTATTTTTGATTTTTGTACAAATTCGATCGGAGTTTGCATTTGTTTGTCTGGTTTCTGTTTGTTTTCCTTTACTATAGAGAATATTTTTTCCCAGATACAAATTTAATCATCATCATCATGCAAGTGGGTGAAATGCGTCCATGGAAAAGCGCAAAGGAGAAATCGTGCTTGTCCTAAAAAGAATACAATTGTCACTTTTGCTTTGTTTTTTTTTTTTTCCTTTCTTTTTATATATATAATAATTATTATTTCCCGCCCTCCCCCCCACCCTTCCCGCTGCAGCACCAGCGTTTGTGACTGTTGAAGTTTTAGCTCCATCTCTTGGTGGTGGTGTTGGCTGACGGTGGTGGTGGTGGTGGTGGATTCTCTGATCCCTGTCTGTTTGTTTGCTATTATGTTTGGGTCGGGTTTGGCCTTTTCTTTCCTCCCGGCTGTGTGTGTGCGTGCATGCGTGTGTGTGTCCTGATTCTAGGTTGCCTCGGTTTGTTTTGCTCGGGACGGGGAGAGGGTGCTTGGCTGTTTGGATTTGGATTTTTTTGTTTGTTTGTTTTCCGATATCATACATCACATTCCGAGTCGCTGGAGGTTACCGAGAGGATGGAGGTGCCCGTCTCGGCTCTTTCTGTCAAACTGGAGACGCTGGTGGTCGGGCTGGCCGCCGTGGACGGAGACTCGGCCGAGCTGTGTGTCGGGCAGCCGGGCTCTGCCAGCGACCGCATGCCGCTCTGTCCTATCGCCTGGTGCTGGAGCCTGCATCGCGCCGGGAGACAAAACAACAGCACAGCCCCGCTCAGACACCGGGCGCGGCCGAGGGGACGGCGCCCGCCCGGCCCTGCGCCCTCCCGGGGACGGCCGCGGCCCGGCCCGGCCCGGAGCGGGACGGAGCGGACCCTGGGCCGTAGGGTGCGGCCCCGGCCCGGCCCGGCCCGGCCGCTCTCCCGCAGCGCCCGCGCAGCCCGGAGCGGCGGCGGGATGCAGGGCTTGCCGTGCGCCCGGGCCGCGCTGCCCCCGCCGCCGGGTCCGGCCGCCTCGGGGGACGGCTCCCAGCGCACACACACGGACAGGGGCCGCGCTCCCAAACGGGACGGGGAGCGCGGGCACCAGCGCTTCCCTGTGCCCGCGTTTGGGAAGGCGAGCGGCGCCTTCTCTTTGCCCGGAGTGCCATTCATTCATCCCCGCAGCACGGCGGGCCTAGGAGAAGCCGTGTGTGCTTGAGCCCCTCTAACACTCGGGCACCGCGAAAAGCTTCAAGGAGCGGTCCGTAGCGGGCAGCAATCGTACTGGATCCCCATTTTGTGCTCTGGCTAACACCTGCCTAAATATTTCCCAGCTCACAGACACTCTGGGTCTGCGGTAGGGAAGGAGGGAGGTCCTGTCCCAGGGACGCAGTGCTACAAATAAAATATAAGAAGGAGAACGTGGAACACAGCTTTTTTCTCCCCTGGAAATTTAAGTCCTTTTTTCATCTGAAAGCCATAATCAGCTTTAAAGTGCTTATTCTTTCATTGTCAACGCTTAAGGGAATATTACCTTTGAATAATTTTTTTTTAAGATGCAATAATTATTTTTTAGGTTCCCTAACATGTTGTAAATATTTCTCTGGGTCCGTTTATCCCAGTCGAAACCCAAAGAAAGCCTAATTCAGGGATAAGAGCTACAAGTCCTGGACTGAGTAGCCAGCCTCAACCTCTAGCGCCTAGGACTGCCAATGTGAATCAAAACACACTCTTCGCTCAAATGTTTCTCACCGGGATATTTTTTATTTAACTTCCTGCAAAGAACAGAAAAATGTAGCAGATTTACTCTACATTTTTCATTATTTTAAGTTGTCTAATTTCAGGGTCTTTGATTTTTCTCCCATTTACAAATCCTCGTGCTTTCATCTGCTGTCAACAGCCTTGAGTCAACAATAGCATCCGTAGGCAACTTCTGTTTATTTACAGTCCTAAGCTGATCTGTTTTCCATTTAATGGAAATTAAATAGCGAGGCACTTTTAGGTTGCATTTCTCCTACAGAATCTTTAATCAGTAGCACCAGTGCTATAATTAGGAGGAATTTAAGAGACAGCATTTATACGAAGTTTTTGTTTACACTCTTACAGTGGTAGCGAATCCTAAATTAAAATAAAACCAATGTGTCAAACTACATTAAAGAGTCCGTGTTCACTTGCAAAATAACTTTTACGACAGTAATGAGAAAGAAAGGAAAAAAAGCAAAAGAAAGAAAGAAAGGTACCTCGCTTTTATCATGGCAAAGCAGAAAGTAGAAGGAAAAAAAAAGAAAGAAAAAAAGAAAAGAAAAGGAAAAAAGACACCGAGAGACAGGCAAATAAATGCAAGTGTAAATGCACAGGAAACACACGACCAGGAGGCCAGGTCGCCATGTGGTGTAAACACAGAAATGGAGATGCAGGGGAGGAAAAGATTCCCGGTCTCTTAAATTTTTTTGTTTTTGTTTTTTGTTTTGTTTTTGTTTTTTTTTCTCTTCCCCGTGAACCAAAGAGCTCTGGGGTATGCCTGTGCTGGTCCCGCTGCGCATGCAGAGCAGCATGAACAATTGGAGCGGAGCCGCCGGCTCCGCCGAAACCCACTCTGAACCGCGCAGCCTGCCTCGGCCTTTCGGCGGGGGAACCGCGCCAGAGCCCGGCCAGGCAAAGATCCCGGCAAGCCGAAAGCCAAACCGGAGCCCACCGACCCGGAGCCGTGGCGTTTCCCGTTCCCCCGCGCCAGACGCCGGTGCAAGGCGGGAGGGAGGCCGGGGAGTCGGGCGCTGCCCCCGCCGCAGCCGATGTGCTCCGCGCACATCCACACACACTCGAGCCCACGGAGCTGCCCACGCCCGCCGGGAGCCCCAGCCCTGTCCGCACCCTGGGAGCCCGTAGGGACCCGGGGCAAGGCTGGAGGCACATCAGGCAACTTTGAGCCGTGCCTATCCCCGTCGCATCCCCGTGGCTGCCGGGAGCAGACCTACCCGCCCGGCGAGGGGACCAGTTTCTCCCCGATGGAGAAGAGGAGGAGGAGAAAAGGAGAGGCAGAGGCGCGCTGCCGCCCAGGCGGCTGCCGAGCAGCGGAGCGCGGCCGTCCGCCCGCAAGGTCCCGCCGCCCACCTCGCCCCCCGCCCCGGAGCGTGGCACCGCAGCCTCACTGACCTGTTTTTAGCCGCCGCTGCTCTGTCTCTTTGCCTTCGGTTTTTGAACCAGTTGCCTACTTGCGTGGGGGTGAGCCCCGTGGCCTGAGCCAGTTCCCTTTTCTTGCTGGGGTTGGGGTAAGGGTCCTGCAGGTACCACTCCCTCAGGAGGCTGCGAGTCCTCTCCTTGAAGCAGTGCGTCTTCTGCTCGCCATCCCAAATGGTCCTGGGCAGCGGAAACTTCTTCCTCACCCTGTATTTATCAACCGGCCCCAGCGGGCGACCCCTTAGCTTCTCGGCCTCCTGGTAGTGCGCTTCGAGCCACATGGCCTGCAACTTGCCGTGGGACTCCTTGGTGAATTTGTGGTTCTCCAGGATGTGGTAGAGGTCTCGGAAGTTGCCCGTGTGGAAGGCCACCACCGCCCGGGCGCGGAGGATGGACTCGTGCTTGTTGATGGCCTCGCATGCCCCTGGCGCCACCGGCAGCGACCAGAGGAACCTCCCCAGCCTTTCTATGTCTCCAGTCTCCTCCAGCGTCTCGCAGACGCTGGCCACTTGCTCCGGGGAGAAGTTGAGTGTGGGCAGCTGAAACATTGACAACTCTTCGTGGGGTGCCCGGGAGCTGCCGCCTCCACCGCCGCCGGCACCGGGGCTGCAGCCCGAGCCGCTGCCGCTGCCGCCGCCGCCGCCGCCGCTGGCGAGAAGGAGGGAGCGGTGGTGCGGATCGGCGGCGAAGTTTGGCAAGAAGAAATGGGTGGGATAAAGCTCTAGCGGGGACCTGAACACCATGGGATGACCGGGGAGAGGGGGAGATAAATCAAGGAGAAAAGAAAGAAAGGGAGGAAGAAGGGAGGAAAGGGCACACGCACCGCGCACGCATCCACACCCGCACACGCACACACAGCCACATAGAGGCACGGGGGCACACACACTCACACGCACACGCGGGCACACGCACACGCGCGCTCACACACACCCCACACGCACACGCACTCACACACACCCGGCCCCGCGCCGCCGCCGAGTCAGGATTCAGTGATTCAACAGCGATCGCCCTAATGACAACAGCCTCATAATATCTCCCCTAAATCCACAGTGAGTGCAGCGCTGAAACATTTTGTTTCGCTTTTCTATTGGTCTTCTGAGTGTCGTTGTGGCGTTGCCATGGCAGCCGCTGCCAATCACTGTCAGCCCTGCCAATCATTACGGAGTACGTAAGGAAGGTTTTTACCACTTCGCCCAAATGCACGGGGGGGAGGGAAGCCGGGCGGTTGGTGGAAAAGCCTGGTTTGTTGTTTGGATTTTTTTTTTTCCTCCTTAATCTTTGCAACTCCTAATCTCAGCACTTCCCCTTCTCCCTGTCTCTCCCCCCTCCTTCTCCACACCCCTCCTAAATAAGGGATCAAATAATGCGAAAAGCAGTGTGCACATATTTGTTGAATGGGATGAGCAATTAGAGGGTGGAATATTATTGTGATCTTAACGAGCCTCGTTAAAGCTAAAGGAGATATGGGGGAAAAGTAAATGGGCCAGGCTGGGATACACGTTCGGATAAAGGGCTCCTAACTGAGACAATTTACACATGATTTGCACGTAGTTTCACTTCATTCTGCCTATCTGAGCACTAATAGTGCCGGGGAAGAAAAGAAAGATGAGATCATTAGACCCATCCTCACGCCGGTGACCCTCCCAGAAGCAGGCACATACAGTACAGGCTGGGCTTAGCCCTGGTTCACCGAAGAGTCTCTCCTCCCCTCTCCCGCTCCCTGCCCCTCTCCGCGGAAGGAGGGATCCGCTGCCCGCGGAGTTCCGCAGCCGCTCCGCCGGGAGCCGCCCAGGGCGCCCAGCCTGGATCTGCTCCGGCTCCGCGACCGACCTCGGAGGCGCCCCGCTCGCTGCCTCCCCCGTCCCACTCCTGGCTTCCCCGCCCTCCCGCTCCTTCTCGTCTTCCCTTTCCCTCTCCTTTCTCTTCCCTCTCTCCACTTTGTTTTTCTTGCATTCTGGCTTTCCTCCTCCCACTCGCCTCACCTCCCCTCGCCTCTTCCTTTCTCCGTAGCCCAGAGACCTTGCGAGGCTGTTCCTCACCCCCAAATCTGCCAGGGCTTTGCACTGTACCTCTCCTTTTCCTTGCAAATTTTGCCCCCAACTTGCAAGGCTCTTGTGCGGGGAAGAGGAAAGGGATGCGAGCAAAAGTGGATTTGAGCACCCCCCCACCTTTTTTTTTTTTTTTTTTTTTTTTTAATTGAGAGCAGGGATATTTATCCGTGGTGGTGGTTTGAATCCATCCCTCAGCAGTAAGACACAGCTGGGTCGTCAGACCTTGCTACCATGCAACTATATTTATTATTAGGTATGTTGCTTTTAAGAAGATTTAATCAGCATCTTGAGCTGGTAACTCTTTTGTTTGGTTTCTGTAGCTATGGAAGTGTGATTTACAGAGATTTGTACGGGTCATGGACATCTTTCCAGACTTACTGTGTATATTTAGACAGGACTTTGCTTGGTGTTAAAAAGTGTATATTTTGAATAGGTTCACACACAGTAGCAAACAATACCGACATTGTAAAGGCATGTACAACGAGTATTGAAACGCAGCATCCAGACTTCAACTAATCTGCCCTCAATAAAGCTGAAATAATTATCCTAAGCCGCCTTTCTAGAAGAAAAATCATTGAGGAATTCAAAACTTTTTTAAAGATCTTTTCTGCATTCCGATGGAGATCGAGGGGTGAGGCTTGGAGCCCAAACTACTTTCAGACATCAATGGAGGGAAGGAGGGGGGGAAGTGAGATATTACAATTAAAATGTGAAAACATAGCGTGACTTGCCCTATCCGAAGGATAATAATAATACTGCTATGGGTGGTAGAAGTTCTTTAGCTGCGCTCCAAACTGGTTGTGATCCTTTCACAGCGCACTCCTCGTGAAATAATTCCAAGTGGCAGATGAATAGGTCCAGTTGGAAGAGCTGCTGGACTGGAAGAAGCTCGCTGTATTACACATTCATCTGATTTCCACTAAACTGTCATCGGTGTGCTACATGGCTTCATAGTCCTAATGGAAATAATTCGCCCTCTTAATTTTTAGTGATCTGCTTAAGCACTTCTGTTAACAGACTTGGGAAAAACTTCTTTTTACCCTCCCACCTTCCTGGCTCAAATTTCCAGTCGTACAGCTAAGGAGGGAAAGAGACTTCTCAGTCCCTCTACAAATCGACTTGGAGGTATTAATTGGACAACAATATGTTTAGCCAAAGATTTTAATACACACACACACACACAAAATCTTTTTCTTTGTAATCCTTTCCTTTTATGTAAAGGATTACAGAGGGGAGAGTGGGGGGAATTCCTGCGGGAGTTTCTTAATATTTGATTCCATTTTCCTTCGAGCTGCAAATTAAAGTACCTTAAAATGTATTTCCAGAATAACATCCAAACCACCTCTGTTGTTTTTGGGTTGTTGTTTTTTTTTAATCTCACGGACTATTATACACTGGTCGTTCAGCTTTAGGTTGCAACCCCTCTATTAGTATTCCTGATGAATCTCTGAAAGATTCTACATATATTCTTCCTTTCTCTCTCTCTCTTTTCCTTCCACCGCCCCCTCCCCCCTTCTTTTTTTTTTTTTTTTTTTTTTTTTTTTTTTTTGTTTTTTTTTTTTTGGTGTGTTGGTTTTTTTTTTTTTTTTACCTTTTCCCCCCCAGACGTATGAAACATGTAACAACTGAATTTTTGGCGAAAATCCTTCTTCCACAATGTCCTTCTGTAGGGTATTTCAATGCGTGTATTTTGTGTGTGTGTGTGTGTGTGTTTAAACCCAAACAGACCCACTACCCTGCCTATCAGCTAATATCAAGGTCTTCCTGAAGCCCAGTTTCCTCTCTCTGCCGCGAAGGTCCAGCATGGGAGCTCTGCTAGCCAGAGGCTCTTACGAGGACGGAGCCAGCATCCTCAGACGTTTCCGCCGGCTCCCGCGGCTGGAAGACGCGGGTCACCGAGGCTCGGTGGTCGTCAGCCAGACCTCGGGGAGCGGATCCTGCGCTTGCCCAGCCCGGCCGGGGCTTCAGCGCTCCCCTAAGCCTGTTAGGGACACACTCTCATGTCCTGAAATGTGCAAGCAGATAATTGTTGGCGCTCCAGCTTTGTGTGAGGAGGCCAGGGTGTAAATGGCTTTTAATGACTGCAGCTGCTGGCTGCAAACTGTCAATGGGATCGGCTAATGCCGAGCCCGGACCCGCCGGGCGTCCAGCCCCGTCCGCCGCCGCCGGGCGGGCGCAGCCGCAGGCGCGGAGCGGCGCGGAGCGGAGCGGCGCGCGCAGCGGGGCGCGGAGCCGGGCGCGGTCGGCGGCAGCGGGAGCGCGGCGGCGGCGGCGGACGGGGCTGGGCAGAGGCTGCCCTCTCGGCTGGGGAAATCCTTTCCGGATCCTGTAAGTTTGTTACGGGCAGGCGGAGGTCCCGCGGGGAAGCGCCCAGGGGGTGCGCGGCCTCCCCCTCCTCCCCTCCGGCCCTTCCCCACCCCCGCGCTGGGGCCCGGGGTCCGGGACCGCGAAAGGAGGGGTCCCTCTGCTCTGACGATGGCCGTCTTCTCCAGGCCGGGGAACCTGCCGTCCGTTTCCAGTCAATCTTACTTGGTCCCACATGATTTATTGTTTCAGCTGCTAGAATGACATGTGGCTCTGCAGGGCAGAGGAGCAACCCTCCCCTTCTCCCCAAAAACCTCCCCTTAAACAAACCTGGGCAAGCCAATGCTCTCTTCTGGAGGGAGCCCTTACGAAGTTGTGTGCGTGTGTGTGTGTGTGTGTGTGTGTGTCGGGCTGCCAACCTGGAGGACTTTTCTGGGGAGAGGAAGGCAAGCAGAGAGAGAAGCTCTTTTATTTCACTGCTTGTTTTGATGGTCGCTCCCAGGAGGCTGCGATTTTCTGCTGCCTAGTTAGTGCCCCTTAATCCTGACTCGAGAGTGACTCAGTCGACGCTTGCGACCGCTGATTATTTTTTTTTTATCGGGGGAGGCAGGGGTTCAGAAGGGGCTGGGGCGTAGCGGTCGAGGTACCGGCGAGAGGAAAATGCAGCACTGCGGCCGCAGCGAGGGGGAAGGCAAGCGGGGAGAAAGGGAGAGCCAGGGCCAGGTAAAGGAGAATCCACAGCTTTGGTCTTGTTAGGCTTTTTATATTATTAATGCAACGATTTAGTTGGATTTTTGTCAGTCTTCAGGGCCAAGCGCTGACAAATTTGTACGGATGCTAGCTCTAAAAACACATTTATCTTCCTCCTTTCTTCCCTCTTTCTTTCTTCCTCTCTTTAGTCACGATTTCCCGGGATAAATGAATGCGCATTTGATGGGTGTGTAAGATGTGGCCCATCCGGCTCCCGTAATAGAGCTCCGTGGATGCGGTGTGTGCTGCACCGGTCGTGATAACAAACAAGTGGCAAGTGATATTTTTTAGTTGCTTGGATTGGCTTAAGAAGTCGAGGGGGTCTTCAATTAGTGGTCCAAAATACTGCTTCAGCTTCCAAGTTAAACTTCCTGGGCCCGTCCCACGCTTTATTTTGCATAAACACCTAGGCTGGATGAGGAAAACGTGAAATACCAACATTTTTTTTTAATTACTTTTTTTTTTTTAAAAGTGAGAAAAGGAATGCAGCTCGCCTCCGCGGTGAGATGACGGCTTGGGAAGCAGAAAACTTTCCCGAGGAGGTGAGGGAGCCGCAGCCGCCTTCTGGCTGGGCTGGGCTGCTTTCCCCCATCCCTCTGGGTCTGCTGGCAGCTCTCGCCAGTCGAAAGTTACCTGCACTGCAGCAGAATCAGCCTTACAGTCGTTTGCTCCTGAATTAAACACAACTCTTAATGATGTAGCATTATCAACAAGGGACACTTGATTGACTGATCTAGGTATGATATATGTGCTTGGCGTCTAAATTAAATATTAAGTGAAATACTTAGCTCTAATTAGAAATCGTAACCTAGCGATGAAAACTTGAAGAAACAAATTGCGGGGGGAGGAGGGGACAGGCTTTAACGTTGCAGAGAGGAAAGTAGCGGTGATGTGTACAGAGTCTGACATATTAGCAACAAGCAGCAACTTTGA